GTCAACTAGCCACAGCAACGTGCTGAAAGGCAAATCTCATATCTACATTTTTACTTGCTTTGTGAAGTCAGGCTCTGATATTTTTTTAGATCTATATTTACTTTAAATCGGGTGCTTGTTTGGTCACGTTGCTACATATTCTTCCCCTTTTTGCAAATAAGTGACGTGAGGAGGGAAAGCTCTAATGGAGAGGACAGTCGGAGATGAACAGAGAAAAACAATAAATGCACTGTGTGCCCCTTTCTCACCTTATTTGAACTGTTTAGTTTATTTGGGACTTGTGAAGTAGGACAGCAAGTGGCTGTTGTCTTTCCCGTGAAGGGAGAAACTGGGCTGGTGACAGAAGACTGTGTGTGTTACTGGCCTGAAGCTGAATTTTTCAATTCCTCTGACAGCTAGCCCTGCAAGAATGCCAGGTGCAAATCTAAATGAAGCATTGAGTATCAACCCGTTATTGAAAGTAAATACTAGTGGTTTAAAACTACTTTCAGGCTAAAAGAGGTAGGAGACAATCAGGATCCAGTTGATCAGAATAGTTTTTCGTTATGAGTTTTTTTGTTTGTATGGAGAACGCTGCATTTACTTACCTAGCGTGGAGAGAAAGAAGTGATGCTATCTGTTTTAGTAGTGCAAGAGGTACCATTGATGAGTATTAACAACAAAAGCTGTTCTTGTTGTTTGCGTGAATATTCTGCTAAATCTAAACAGAAACCTTGCACCATTGAAGAGCAACTGATGTGACAAACTATATTGTCTCTAGTTGACACTGTAGTGTTGGATGAAGTGGAGCAGAGAGACAAAGAAGTTTCTCCTGTGGGTTTGTGCCTCAAGATGGCTCTTAGGACTTCATCTTTGTACTCTGGAGTGATAGTATGTTTTGGCCTTTTTCCTTTGGCCAGCACTGATGGATCTGTCCTTTGCTTGGTAACCTGCTGCCACAAAATCTGTTAGATTTTTTTTTTTTAAATCTACCTCTGTCTCCGTCTCTCATATTTGAATAAAATTAGCTAACAGGTTTGCAACAAATAATTCCTTAACACCCAGAATGTGGCTGCGTGAACCTCTTTTATTTAGAAAAACAGGCAAAAACAAAAAAAAATCTGACTGCAATAGAGTCAAACAGTGACCTACAACTTGTATGATGGCAACTGTAATGATTTTTTTCTTAGAGAGTGTAAAGTTTGATTTTCTTCATAAGCCCAAATATAATTTAACTGTAGTGTGAAATTTTTGCAAGTGTGTACAAATATGTATTGTAAATCTATATAATTCTCCCTAGCGTCATAGCATGGGATTCCTCTTAACATTAGCTGTTAAAAGTTAAGCATTCCTCCTAAGCTACTCATCTAAGGCACCCCCTCTCCCATATGGTTGATGGCAATGGCAGGATGATTCATCTCACCTATTTTAGTCACCTATCTTAGAATGGGATAAATTGCAATTTGGAGGCACTTATCTCTCTTGCTTGACCACAGGAGCCTATATGACTGGCTTAGACTAGCACCTGACTTTTAGGTGGCTATATACCAGGAAGATCACCTCCTTTGTTCTCAGCATATAAACTGTAGTTTTCAAAGATGTCTTGTCAGTGCTGAAAGCTTTACTTTAGATATATATGCATATAGTTGCACAAAAACCACAGTCTTTGGTATTAAATGGAGTTTTGTGCATGGATTTGTGTACACATAAATGATCGGTACTTGAGCATATAATTTTATATGATTTACCTCCAAATTCCTTTCTGAGAAGTAGCAAGACAGAACTGAAATCTGTATATGCAAGCGCAGTCGTGCAGCTAGTGTAGCTCCCTTCCCAGAGAGGAATGGGGTAGATGTCACTGTAATTTGTAAAACTTCCACCAGTCTGGTACATGGGACAGGCTGATCTGAGTTACTCTCAGATGGAGTAAGTAATCCTTGTTAGGGAAAATTTGGTAAGTTTCCACCGTAGCCATATGCATTTGGCTATGAAGGAGAACGTTTGAGCTTGTGTGCAGTTACAGAGCTGCAGATCAGCAGCTTTCACCTCTGCTAAATTCTGTGATAGGTCTAGATCTGTGGCAACTGGCAAGCTGCTTAGGCTTTCTGTGCCCCTTCTGTAGTGTTTTTCTGTATTCCCAGGAAACCGCAATACCTGTAGTCTGAGTATACTAATTTCCAGTTATGCAGAGCTCTTGTCCTCAAGCACGCCAGGAACAAATGCTGCAAAAACTCTTCAGCACTTGATTCCCCCACTGAGCAGAGAGGAACAGGCAGGCACTGAATTTCTGTACTTTTGTGGCTACGTCATCTCCCTGAAGAGCTGAGCTGCAGAGAAGCCCTGGTGAGAGCTCAGCTGTAGTGCTGTCACAGTAATCGGTGTTTGCTAGCTGCTTCCCAAGACATGAACGCTGTCTGGGTGAGCCATGGATACGCATAGGGAGTGAGGGGTCAGATCATCTTTCTAAATTCTGGGCTTCCAACTCCTGGGAATCACAAGGACGCTTCTATACTGCATGCCTGTATGTCACTACTAAGATGCACATCACAAGGCTTAAGGTATCTAGCCGGTTACTCTTCACAGCCCATCAGATAGGAGTCCTGGGAACTCTGTTGCAGAGTTTACCCTGCTGCCCACCGATGATTTTCAGTGCAGGTGAGAGGGCTGTTACATGCAGGGACCGTACGTGAATGGCTCTGGCAGGCTGGAGTTGGGAACTCCAGTAAGAACTCTCAGTAGAAATGCCAGTAGGAAGCCAGCTGAGAAGCAGCTAAGCACGCTTTGCGAACATCCAGTGGTGATTTAACATAAGGTGCTACTGGAAACTCACTAGTCTGCTGATGTTTCCTTTGATTTCTCGGCATAGCAGAGACAGGAAAAAAATAAAGATGAAAAAGGAAGGAAAATTAAAGAGAGAAAGGCATATCTGAAAGGCAGGAGCCTGAACTGACGTGGGGAACTCTGAATTAATGCAGAAACAGTCTGCTTTCGTATGTTCCTTGCTATCTTTTAACACCAAAAGCATCCAGAAAATATCAGACTTTAACTGATCGTAATATTTTGGTCAACTTTTATCTAGCAGCAATGATGGAAGCAGAAGTTGCTGGTGGGATCACCTGAGCTGTTGGCAGGGAGAAAGAAAAGATCAATTTGGTGGAGCTGAGTGGATTTTTCCACCCGTTTCACATTATTATCATGATGCATACTGAAACAGGCTTCCAGTTGTCTGGGCTGGATTCCAACCTTCCTCTGATTTTTGCAGTGATATAATGCTAAGAAAGTACTTCTTAATGTTGGCAAAACAGTGGCCAAAACTTGGCTTTGGGAGTTTGCAACCTGAGGGTTTTTTTGGTGGGTTTTTTTTTTTTTTTAGTTTTACAAGGTTAAGGTGCAAAGGTAAGAATCTATTTGTGCTTTTACCCTAAGGGAAGATGTGAAGCACAACTTATGAGTGACTTTAAAAGGCTTGGATAATTTCTTGAGGTTCTTTGGATAGCAGATACAAAATATCTTACAGTTGTTATATATTAAAATTATATACATTTTATGGAATATTTTTGGCTGCAGTAGTAGAATGTATTTTACTAATTAGTTAAAGCCATGCCTTAATTTTAAGAATAATACGTTTCCTCCCTGTGTTTTCAAAAATCTGTGCTTTGAAAGAATAATGTCTGTGTTGAAAAATCTGGGAATTAGCAAATATTCTTTCCAGGAGCTGGATTTCCTGACGTCAGCCATTGTGTCCTGCAGTCCCTTCCCGAAGAGAAGTTGAAAAAGAAAGAGACAAAAAGGAAAGGGATCACAGTATCTCAATTTTATTTTCTTTCCTGAAAAGTATTCTCTTTGGGCAGACAGCAATTGTGGTTTCTAATGACACAAACTTGAAGGGGAACAGAAGAAGACTACAAACAGGTTTATGGGCCTATTGATGGAAGCAGAAGTTGCTGGTGGGATCACCTGAGCTGTTGGCAGGGAGAAAGAAAAGATCAATTTGGTGGAGCTGAGTGGATTTTTCCACCCGTTTCACATTATTATCATGATGCATACTGAAACAGGCTTCCAGTTGTCTGGGCTGGATTCCAACCTTCCTCTGATTTTTGCAGTGATATAATGCTAAGAAAGTACTTCTTAATGTTGGCAAAACAGTGGCCAAAACTTGGCTTTGGGAGTTTGCAACCTGAGGGTTTTTTTGGTGGGTTTTTTTTTTTTTTTAGTTTTACAAGGTTAAGGTGCAAAGGTAAGAATCTATTTGTGCTTTTACCCTAAGGGAAGATGTGAAGCACAACTTATGAGTGACTTTAAAAGGCTTGGATAATTTCTTGAGGTTCTTTGGATAGCAGATACAAAATATCTTACAGTTGTTATATATTAAAATTATATACATTTTATGGAATATTTTTGGCTGCAGTAGTAGAATGTATTTTACTAATTAGTTAAAGCCATGCCTTAATTTTAAGAATAATACGTTTTCTCCCTGTGTTTTCAAAAATCTGTGCTTTGAAAGAATAATGTCTGTGTTGAAAAATCTGGGAATTAGCAAATATTCTTTCCAGGAGCTGGATTTCCTGACGTCAGCCATTGTGTCCTGCAGTCCCTTCCCGAAGAGAAGTTGAAAAAGAAAGAGACAAAAAGGAAAGGGATCACAGTATCTCAATTTTATTTTCTTTCCTGAAAAGTATTCTCTTTGGGCAGACAGCAATTGTGGTTTCTAATGACACAAACTTGAAGGGGAACAGAAGAAAACTAAAAAC